CCCCCCCCCCCCCCCACATAAGCGTGTTCAGCTGGTTCGGAGTTGAGGTAGCAGTAGCAAAATTCGCATTCCATTGACTTATCAACTCAACGATTCTACCGAAATCATCTTAACCACTAGTATTTTCCAAACAGAGTTCATAAATAACGGGGATCGTTTCGTCTGTCCAATATTTTGCTTGAAACAGTAGTGTCCGTTTCCGCGAAAGGTCCGTTTTTACCTTTGCTCTGTCAGATCAGTATTGTTGTACAGCATAGAAGACGTCTGAACTGTGTGCAGCATTATCTTCAACGCATTACTAGGGTTAAATGTAAGAAGCACGCATGGAATGCTTTCGGGGCACAGATGACCTCGATAAACGTGGAGATTAAGTAAAGCAGGTTAGCCCGGCTCTATTAAATAAATACTTTGGGCGGATAGCATTTACATCAGTGTGTGAATGTGTAGCTTTTAATTTAGGAGCTGAAACCCGACAGACGTCGACCAGAAGTCCAGAATGCAATATGAAGCAGGAGACACGTCTGCATTCTGTGAGGATTATTTTCTTCTGCGATGCAATAACCTGTGCCTCATAGTCAAAGTGTTGTAAAGCTGTAGATACAACAAGCTTCACAAACCAGAGACGTTCTATTTGTGCATACGGCGTAAGGTAATGATCACGCACACGCACTTAAATGATTCATATTTCAGTAAGTGCGTATTTGGCAAGGTCAGAATATCGAAGAATTATACTTAAGAATTAAATATTAAAACAGGTTGAAATCATTGGATTGGAATTACGTTAAGATTTTCGTCAGCTACTTAAGTGATAAATGAAATATTTTTATTTGCTATTTTTTAATGTTTTTTTACGAAGTTTCTTGTTTGCAACCATTTGCAACTTGTTCGATTCAGACGTCAAGCGGATTGAGGCATGTTTCAGCCGTAAAATGCACCCTTAAAGAACCTGACCATTAGTCTTGCTTAACTTCAGCAGAGAAAGATGGTATCAGCCAGTCAGTCAGGTTCGAAAATCGTTTGTCCTTTCGAGGCCCGTAGGCAGACCATTCAGGCAGAGTCTGCAATGTTCTCGATCCTGTCCAACATTTGAGCTTTGGCAGAAGAAGACCCGAATATGAAGCAGAGTCTTACGAGGGACTTTTCTCGTGTCATTCTTGACCATCTTATGGTTAAGTTGTATTTGTATCGTCTGTTTCTGGAAGCATTCGCTATGCGTGTTCAGTCCATCGCAATTGTGAGTTTTTAATCTGAGGATCCAAGACGGGCATCACTAGCTACCATATGCTATATCGATTATGTTGTCTGTAATTACTAGCTGCTCGTTTTTCAGTTAGTTGCACCGAAACATAAAAGGGTGAATTCTTTGCTCAAAGGAATTAACGGTTGGTAAAATTTCGTCGTCTCTGCTTCCCCTTTGGTTCTTCTAATCAATCATACATAAAATTATGTTTCTTCACTTATGTGTTATAAAATTTTAGTGAAATAGTTTAATAGTTTTTATGAATAAATTAATTACCGGTTTTGTCCGCCTGTGACAGCAACTAATGTTACACACTAGAAAGTCGAATTACCCATGGATTAACTACTACTGAACTGACGAGCGGTTCGACCATTTTCATTTGACGTACAGCACCGCATCATGGTTTTTACTTCGCTCAAGCAGCATACTGCGTACGTTCAAGGTCGAACTTGTGACCCGACCTTAAAAACACTGTCGATCTGGCGTCGTCGAAATTCGGCGCCACGTCATGCAATTCGACTCTGACCTCGTGTCAAGGCCTCATCCGCCGGAAGACACCGATTTTTACGATCGCAGGAAACTGGCCGCCCTCATTTTTACGACAGCCGTCTTCGCTGTGCTCCAAAGCGGCATCGAGAAGCAGCGTCTGTCAGGTTCCCAAACGATAGACCATTTCAACGCCGGTAAAATGGATCTTGATCAGCTGCTTGAAGAAACTGTACTATAACATTGTTTTTTTCTCTGTTCACAGTTAGTCATTACAGACAAAGGGCCAGCGTATCACTGTCGAATGGCAGAACCTGGGTCTTCACATCATCTCGGTAAAGGGGGTAATGCGACCAGAGGTCATGCTTTAAGTTACGTTTAAGACCACGGTTGTGCAGTCGTTAGAGTATCAGACTCAAACCCCAGAAGTCATATGCTGGAGACCTGGTTGAGGGTCGCTCGTTTTTTTCTCTTTTGATATCGATAGATGAGTAGCAGAGCTTTACGAAAACAAAGAAGAAAGGAAGGTTTCTAACCAGAGGAATGTCCTTGAAACTGACGCGAGGGGGCCAGTTCCGCTACACTTATTTTCATGAAGCAAATGATGATGGCTGTGATCTCCATGTTCATGTCACCGGCCAGGAGGGCTTTATTTTGGCCTTATACCAAGATATGGTCAAGAACAAATAGATAACGGATTTAGTCTGTATTCGCCTGTTTCCTTCCTACTCATTTATTAACCTTGGAAGGAAGAACGGCGAGTGACGAACGGAGCGGTGTTCGAACCCACGACCTTTCAGTTCAAAGTCCGTAGCTCTGACGACCGAGA